CACTTCAGCCCCTAAATCATAAAAGGCAATCACGTAACCTAAGCAACAGGGGTTGAGAGAAATCTCTTAAATAAGACAAATTGTTTGGTATAGCATATTCTCGATAGGTTTTATTTTGAAAATATATGGCTGACAAACCCCCACGTATCAGCACGTTCCAGCTACTAATGAACACAATTAGACTTCTCTTGTATTATTTATAGCAAAAACATCAAATTATGCAATTAAAATGTCTGGATTAATGCTGTCGTTGGTGTTTAGATTATGACGTCATACGCTGCTGTTTTAAGCATTTTCAGGAAGTAGTTTATCAATACTTTAATTTTAGTATGCTCACAATACCAGGACTGCACACGTTAAAACTGCCAATCTTTTCGTCATACAATGTGAGCTTTTATAGGCTACATTTTTTGGAATATTACGCCTCGCGCAAAGATTCAGGATTATTATTATTTTAACACACAAAGGTGAGAACTTTTTCTTGGCCTTTTTTGGAACAATTCTGCAGCCATAAAAAAAAGGGGTGGAGGGGACAAAGGCACTGTTATTATTATTATATATTTTTTAATCATCTCAAATTGACACCACCACACATTAAGGCCTCATGCTGCAACATTAAGGGAATATTTCGAAATAAAATCACGCATTGAACTGCAGGGGAAACAAAATATTGTGTGGGGATTTATATTGTGTAGAAAAAAATAAATATGTAACCATTTAGTCAGAAGACACTCGCCCTATATGCGATTTTTTTCAGTGTGTGTGTGTGTGTGTGTGTGTGTGTGTTTTTGAGTGTAAATAAATAAATGTATTTTTTTTGTTCAGTGACCGTTTGCTTCCACTTTCACTTTGTTTAAAACAATATTTTTCTTTAATTCTGCAACATGTTTGTTTTTTTTCTTGCGTTTCTAAACTCTGTTTGAATAAAAAGTTAAAAAATAAAATAAACTCCCTGAAAAGCACGACATCATTTTGAAATATAATCCATAAACTGTGTAGTATAGCCTATCTATGACAGTAAATGGAGATTTAAAAGACAACAAAGTGCTCAGCTGTCAAATACCCCAGGCGGTGTGATTTGGGGACTATTAGCCTTACCAGATGAGGGCCGGTCCGAGTACCGAGTACAGTAGACCCAAGCGGGCCACAGCATTTGCGCGCTGTCTTTGGTTCTGGGCGGAGATCCTCCATTGCTGCCGCTCATAACCATAATAGAAGAAGGGCTATCCGCGTATCTTCCTGCCCCGTTGCTCGCCGCTTCGCCCTGTTTCGACGAGTTCTGCTTGGACGAGGGCGACGAGGACGTGGACGACGACGACGAGGAGGAGGAGGAGGGCGACGACGAGGTGCTGTCACTGCTGCAGTTGGAGTCCAGGCATGCCGGCGTCAACCTCGCTCCCAGCGGGTTGACGTTCTCTCTGCCGGGCATCTGGCTCCGGTCTCGGTAGCCCTGCTCCTTCCTGCAGCCGAAGTCCGGCCGGAGGATGTTGTCGATGAAAAAGTTCGTGGTCCTGTGGGCTTGCTGGGCAGCCTGGTGCGGGATAATCATGGCGGGGGATGGAAGATTCGGTGAAAGGGACATGCTCTCCTCCTCGGTCGAGTCCCGTCCGCTCTTGGGCTCCTTTTGCTCCTCCATAGCTGAGAAAAATCTGGCCTTTCCCGAGCCAAAACTCCACTTGTTGCTCGCGCTCCCGCCCCCCTTTTTCGGTATCCAGTTTAGACGCGCCGCATGTATAAACAAGCCTCCCGCTTCAACGAGTAAACACCTGAGTGTGTTGTTCTTTTCTCTTACTCACATCGTCTCCTCACACCCTTCAGACACTTGGCATAGCCTCCACGTTATACCCAGTGTCCCTGACTCTCCCTGGTGCAGCATAATATCTGGAGTATCTGCGCGTCCTGGACTTTCCTAAACCGTTATCTCCCCCCCCCCTTACCCCCCCCCCCGTGTTTTTTTTTCCTCCCTTTCTCTTACACCCAGCCGGAAGCACGTGTGCGCGTACACACAGTGCAGCGGACCAATCCACTGCAGGGAATCGATCCCGTTGCAAAATGACGACGTCCAATTAGGACTCGGGAGCCAAGCCATTACGTGCATACACATAATGTACAAAAGCAAAACAAAAACAACAGAGAGAAATACAACATTCGTATTTTTACACAAAGGATTTATGTCTTTTTTTTCTTTTCTTTTACATTTTCTGAACACTTTTTTAAAATTTTATAGATTATTATTTACAAGCGGAGATTATAACAAACTGAATAGAGAAAACAGCCATTGACTTTTAATTAGTTAAACAGTTTAGCTGACTGCCTACAAACTTATTACCTCCTTGCAATGAAAAAAATAAATCTACTTGGACTGTTTTTTTAGGATATAAACGAAAATAAATTATCATAAAAAAGCATTTTACTAAAAAGATAGATTTGTAAGAATGATCAGAAAACAAAATATAACCAAAAAAATTTGTTCTGAGATGAAACATCCTTAAAATGATCT